CATTACTAAGATCATTAGCATCTGCTTGGGAACATCCCCATCTGCTGGCCCCTCTACCTACAGTCACCTTATCAAAGATATTTCTTTTGCTCAAAGTTCAGCTGTCCACTTTTCACTGTGGCCTTCTGGCTCTGCATTCCCAGTCCCTCCTGTCCACCATTACTGGTTGTTAAAGAACTTTTCATTTGCTGATATGAGTCATTACCTCCTGTTTCTTGCATTCCTCACAGAAGCCAGAAAAGCAGGAGTTTTGCTTTTATAATTTACATTTTCTATGGTCCAGAATAATAAGTTCTCCAGATTTATTAGTGTGATGAATAAACTATCTGGATATGAAAAAGAAAGGGATGGTCTGTCATAAAAATGTTAGTAAAACAGATAAATGATCCAATATGAAATACATTATAATTGGAAGATAAGAAGATGACATGATACTTGGAAAAGGAAATTCGGAATTGAAATGGCAGCATCTAAGTAGAAAATGATATGGTATTAATAGAATATACAAATATCATGACTGAATGAAGATTTCCTAGCTAGACATGAATAGGAGAATAGTAGAGTAATGAGAGTGATAACTGAATTGAAAAAAAAAAAAAAAACAAAGCAAACAAACTATCTGGCTGGCAGTTGGGGCCCCCAGCAGTGGGAGCAGACTCTTTGAAACCTATCCCTTATGGAGGGATGCTTTGTTCAGCCTTGATGATTGTGTGTGTAATACATCGGTGGTAGGTACTAAATATGATACATTGGTGGAAGGTAACAATGCTTAAGGAACATAACTAAGCCAGATGTGTTATCTCACACAAGTAAGGGCAGCATTTGGGTGGCTGAAGCAAGACTATCACTATGCCAGGCCATCCTGGTTTGAGAATATGAATATGTCTCAAAAAAAAAAAAAAAAAGAATAGAAAGAAAGAAAAAGGGAAAGGACAAGCCTTTGTAACAAATACCAGGAAAGAACAGAACATAACTATGAGAAAGGAGTGAAAGCAAAGAAATGTACAAAAACTGAAGTGTCATATAGTTTTTAATAGAATAACTGGAGAGATGACATGCCAAGAAAGGGATGGGACAGCTGGGACTGGGGGCATGGAGACAGAGGAAAGGTCTAAAATAGATCCCATGGGGACTGAGCCTGAAAGTACAGCAAAGACAATTAAAAAAGACTGCCAAATAGCAGCAGAAACCAGATTGAAGCCTGAAAGCATCCAGTTCTAATGAGCCAAATCTGCAGTGCTTTGTTTGCATCCAGCAGTGCTCACTCTCCTGGGAGATGTGATGAAGAAAACAGAAGTTAGAGGTATATTCTACACAGGAACTTACTGTGTGAGCAAGGGGACAAGAGCTATTGTTGAAACCCAGGCAGACTGTGGCATGCACAGGAGCCTGCCTCACTTCAGTTAAGCAGAGTAACTTCTTGAATGGAAAAGGTTAATTTAGAAGTCCTAGGCTGCTATCTAACCCTTCCTGTAAATTAGGAGGCCTGTTTCTTGCCTCCTGGACTTCTGCATTGCTGCTCAGACAATGGCATCAGTAACAAACAAACAACATGAAATTTAAAATTCTTAGTAAAGGATTTTATTGAAGAGACAAGCTATGAGTGTGAGTGCACAGGGGACAGAAGGCAAGGATGAGTGTCAGGCAGGAAGGAACTGTCCAGAATGGGACACATTTCCAAGACATTAGTTACTAACTTTTAAATAAACTACACGTCAGAGGGGAAACTGGATTTTTGTTATGTACAAGCTGAGTTGACCAAATGATTACTCATTTTTCTAAGTAATCCTGAATGCTTGCATTCAGTGAAGCAATACCTTTTGAAGTGAAGGCTAGCCCTCCTCTTTAACTTCTCACTTTACATTCCACATTGTTAGCTCTTACTCCAACCACCCAACCACAAGCCTTCTCTTGGTTACCAAAACAAATCCAGTTCATTCCACATTCAGGTATTGGAACCAGCTCTTCCTGGGGATCAATCATATTCTGCCCTTAGATGAACAAGCTGAGATTTGGCTTAAGTGTCCCTTCCCTTAGAAGATTTTCTGAGCTTCAACCTAAAGTAGTCTTCAGCCACCAACATCCCCCACTACCAGATAACTCTGCATGGGGGGAAAGGGGTTTGGTTTTAGTTTGATTTTATTTAATTCTTGACAATAATAACATTTATCTTATTTATGATTTATAATATGTTTCTGTCACTTACAATAAAAACTCCAGAAAGAAAAGGATCCTGTCTAAGTCACCATTTTACCTTTAGTCTTTCAGATTCCTGCAAGCACATAACATACATTGCTTACATGACAAGGTAATGAATGACATTAATGTTGATTCTTTAATATCAACTATGATGGGAAATTACACCAAGCACAAGTTTAATCCCAAGGCTCTGTACCCAAACACTGGAGGAAAAAATCATGTTCTTGCCTCATAAATCTCTCTGACCCTATCTGCCTTGTTGCCCTAAATAAGACATGAGGAAGAATTTTTTGTTTTGTTTTCTAGATGGTGGCATATGGGGCAACAACCATTCAAGAGGAAATATGAGCATATTTCAAAAAAAAATACTGAATTGTCAAGTGAAACAAAAATGGTGTTATTTCAATCAAGCTAGAACATGGGAGCTAAAAGCGGGTTTTACAAAATTTGAAAAGTGTAAGATTCTATTAGCTGTGTCAGGTATATATAAAAATATCAGGTGAATATATGAGTTTCCCATAAAGTATGTGTTACAAGCAGTAGTTTCACTTTGTATTTTGCTTAACTAAGATTTTTAAAGGAAGAAGAATGTATGTACTTACTTTGTAAGTAATTCAGTCTACACTCATGTTCACATTACCTGTGCAAAGTATTTTCTGCCATTTGACTTACAGTAAAACAGACAAAATAAAAATGGAAGAGTGAAGAATGTCATCAAAATAAAATCAATGATAGTAATGAATAATTGATGCTACAGAATTCCATCTGACCTTATACAGCTCCATTTACTAATCATGATTCTCTGAAATACAGTTAAAATTAAAAAGTAACATGTTTCAGCATTCATCCTTAAGATAATGATATGAAAACAGTAACAAAAAAACATCTTTTTACCTACACACCTCAAAAAAATACTAATGATTATATGAAGATCAGGCACAATTAGAACTAATATATAGATAACCTGGTCTAGATTCTTCAAATATAATACGGTCAAAAAATACAAAATAAAGGAATGGAGAGATGACTCTATACTTAAAAGAATTTACTGATCTTACACAGGACCTTAACTCCAGTCCCAATACCATACTATGTGTCTCACAACTGCCTACTAATTACAGCACCAAAAGATCCGACACCATAGTTTGAGGTGTCTGAGGGCACACACACACACACACACACACACACACACACACACACACACACACACACACACATCTATACATGATTAAAACTCAAATAAATCCCAAACACACACATGAAAACTAAGGAAGTATTTCATATTTAACATGACTTTGTACGGAAATGTTCTCATGCTTTAAAATTGCAGTGGTTAGGGTGGGAAATCAGATGGATGAATGAGTACACAGTTACATAGGTAATGGATTTTTAAGACTTCCATTAAAAGTAAAAATTCACTTATCTCAATGACTATGACAATAATCATTTAAGAAGTACATAAGTAATAGGCAAAATATGATATTTGTCTTTAAGCTCTACTATTAAATTTTATTGTGATAAATGATACACAAAAATTGACATGTAAAGTAACTTTAAATTGGTTCCTTATTTAGTAACTTATTTCATAAGAACACTACCACTATTTAATTCTAAAGTAAAAACAGTAGGGAAATATAAATCATCAAACACACAGAAGTCAAATTTCTGACCTACTTGACTTAAATTATTTGTCACTTCTTTAACTCTTAATCTTAAACTAAGCATCAATAACAAAGGCAAAGTTAAAGGGCAGTTGTGAGTTTCTCATGATATTACCCTCACTGTAGTAAGAATAGCTCAGTTTAGGGACAGTCACTATGCCACACACCTGCCTACTTGTTGGACAAGTGGTGCTATCAAAATCAAAGACACCTAGTATGAAACTTGAATTTATATTCTTGGCACTGTTAATTCCGGTATCGCCATACTTTAACAGTTACTGTTTTGTATGGTATTTGTCCCAAACAATAAAAATAAAAGAGAAAAACTGAAATATTTCTTGCTTACCACCTGAAGAAAATGCAAAGGTTAAGTTGCATACACGTATATTTGCTTATGTACACAAATAAGTGTGTAGATAGTCATGTAACATTAGTCTCAAGCACTTAGCAGTCTCTAAACTTAACTGGCAATGCTTATGACCCAAATAATACACTTACATTTACTGGTTCTTTTCTTTGCCTGCCTAACTCTCCTCAGAGAGTAGCAATTTATTTTTGAGCATTCCAATGGCATTGGATGCTTAAGGACTATTCAATCGTAAGCATGAAAAACAAAAGTTCTCTTTTAAGAAGAAAGCTATAGTCAATGTTTAGATGTGAAAATTACTGCTCTACACTGGAAAAATAACTGCTTCTATGTGCACACACAAACATGTGAGAAACGTTCCCCTGATGCTCCACATAGTGGATGTCAGAGCTTTATCAAGAAACTCCCCTTGATCCCCAGTTTACTACCACAATTCAAGAACACACATATTGAATTTATGCTGATCACAGATTACTATAAAGTTTTCTTAGCCTTAAATTTCAAAAGAGAAATCATGATTATATTATAGGAATTCTTAGTTTGTTATTAAAATAGGGCAACACATTCATTTCCAAGACATCATCTCAGGTTAGTTTTAACCACTATTTCTGGGTTAATTCCAGGAATATAACCGTCAAAACAACCATCTTCAATTGTAAAGTCATATCTATTTTGTGCTATCAGGGTGTTGCTTACATTAGGCCAGTTATTGCAGGTACATTGTAAAGAATTCTAAATGAGAATTTTGATGACATATCTATGTTCTTACTCACCCGTCGTTTCCACGATGCCTTCTAGGATGACGACAACCTCAAATTGTTCAGTCTGCATGCTTCGCTGGGATAGGTCATAAAAGGGGCTTTTGGCATCAATCACGTGGCAAATTGTGAGAGGGGACACAAGAAAAAGTTGATCTGCCCCTGTACTAAAACCTACATCCAGTTCAAGTTGGTCAAGGGGAAGGAATTCACCCTCAGGTGTCTGCCGAGACTAGACAAGCACACAGAAAAAGAGAAGAAATCACCACTTGTACTGACAATTTCAATAGCCCAGCAATCATGTACATTATTACCAACATTCTGCACTATCAATCATCAGAATGTAATTCAAACAAATCATTACACAACCATATTTTATGAAACTGGCTGAAATCCTACATAGCCCATGCAGAACATACATGCATTATTTATAATAAACAATTTGCTATAATTACCAGTCCCTAACTCCTGAGCTTTGGAGAAATAGTTGTTACAACAATGGCTGTGAAGACAACTCTGGAACTGAGTGTGTATGTCCACACTGCTTGAAAGAAATCTATGCATGATAACCAATGGCATGCCAGAGTTGCCTTCCCTCAAAAAGCAAATAAATTTGCAGTTCTACTAGAGGTTGTGAAACTGAAAAAATGCTGACCATGATTTACGAACAGATTTGTTGATTTCTTGAAAAGCAAAATGAATAATTGTTTATTTTTTCCTGGAATTTAGTAAAGCAACAAATGGATATAAAACAGAAAAGACACTATCATACTGAATCGTGATATGTACCATAGTTTTAAAAGGCAGGTGCTATTACTTCATGATTTTTATTCTCATAATAATAATAAGCTGTATTATAATTATCTATTCCTCTACTTTCAAATTTTAAAATGTAGCCAAAAATGCCCTATTGAACATTTTTAAACGAAATAGAATTTTATGATAGGTGTCTCTGACAAATTGTTCATTAAAAATGTCATGGGATACTGGCATTTTATTTTATATTCAATATAATCACTCTAAAATTTAATTCAACAAACCAGTTACATTGTAAGACTATGAATATAAAGGCAATATCAGGAAATCATAAAAGCAGACTTAATCAATCTTCATGTTCCATTCATTTTCATTTGGTTTAGCATATCTATTACACATAATATTTATACAAGCAAATATTTTGATTTAACATAAATAACAGAGGCAAAATAAGAGCTGGGTAGTAGATTTATACAGAAAAAAAATGGTGGGAATAGTTCTAAACCAGTGGTCAACTAGGACTTGGAAAAGACCAGTATATTTTAAGACCCTTCATCAGCTAATTTAATAAAAGAATCTAGAGCATGAGTCTGCCCAAAGACACTCTCTTCATTCCAAGACAGAAATCTTATTTTCATTTGTTAAAAAAATATTAGATTTCATGTTTGGTAAATAATACTAGAAATTTTTCAAAATTGTTGAACAGTCTGTTTTTCCTGGAAAACAAACAAACACACACACAAAAAAACCTTAATAGTTTTGAAGCAGTGGTGGTATTTCATGGTTGTGGTCACCAACAGAACTTCAAAAGATGAGCTGATTCATTTGAGAGGTTCCATTACAATTGTTAATACTGGAAATTTTTACATGTGTGGGAGAACATTAGGGGAAAACACAGAGACCACTATTCTTTAAGTAGCATGTAAAAGTAGAAGAAAAGGAGGAAGGGAGACTTTTGGTAAAAGGAGGATGGATAGAAATGGTTCCTCATCATATTTTTGCTTTTAATCTGTGGGAAACCCTCATTGTCCAAAAACCAAAACCTCAGCTCTAGATATCAATATTGGAAAGCAATTGGTATTTGTAAGTCAGCACCAAAAGTACCTGTTTGAAGCTTTTATCAGACACCTATATCTCAACATATTGCCAAGTTAGTAAAATAAGAGTGAGAGTAACAACTTCCCAACTGCCAGATGTAATACTTAATTCATGTATGAAAATAATAACTGACAAACAGAAAACAAGGACAAAGACAAAGCCCATTTCATTTTCTTCCAGCTAAGAATCAACAGGGGCTATATAAGCACAAGGTGATATTCTGAAATCTGTAATTAATAACTATAGTTTGGGTCCTTTTTTTGCTATCCTAACTTCTTTGTTTCTGTACTATACAGTGTGAGCAATGTCTTTAAACTCTCATGGGGTGGGGGTTAGTAATAGTTCTCCTAAGAAGATAATTTTTTAATATCATATGGCATATCAAAACTAAAATTTGCCTAGTTTTTTGATATATTTGTTATTCATACCTGTGGCTTTATAATAAGATTTACACATAATGTGCTGTAACCTTTGTACAGCTAAAAGAAGTGGCCTAAACACACTCAGACTACCAGGAGATCAACTGGCTTGAGTTGGAGATACTTCATTTTTCAGTAAAGCGTGTTGTTAAGATACAGGCAATTTATATTTAAATATGTATAGGTCCATTCCATGCAGACTCAACATGTCTTCATTTTTGAAATGCTTCTTCATTATAATCAAATTAATAATCTTTAACCCACCTCTAAGCAATGGAGAGTAAGTGTCCTGACAACTGTTCTATCCAAATCCCCCTTCTGTGTGACACTATGGAGAAAATATTAATAACTTCTTTTCTTTGGAAGGTGCTTTTCCTGTTTCTTGTAATATAAGTAATATTAAAATTGTTTTCTAACTGTCACTATGCAATGTATTGTGCCTGAGATACTTCACACATATTTCCAAATTTATCACCCATGACTTGGTCATTTATGTTAGGACATCAGACATTTAGACTAGAAATTCATTCATTTTCTGATTGTTGTTTCTCTTTCTGACTTGGCATCATATGAAAGACTTTGATGCAGGTCAAAAGTGAAAGACATGCTATCAGAGAAAAGGGTGTTTGGAAGATTGGACCTCTCTGAAGTCTAAACTGCTAATTAGAGTCAAGTTCTGTTATCACTAATAGCCAAACAATTTTAAGACTGCAGAAAATGTAGGTGCCTTCTATATACATTCTCAAAACAGACACATTGTATTTGGATTTCTGACAATTATACTCTAGGAGCTTCTGATTCTGGTTAAGTCTCAAGATTTTTCAGCGCAAACTTAACAAAGGAAAAATAAAAGTAAGTTATTTAAGTGGGGAAGAAGAAGTTTGGACTTTCTCTTTAAAGAACTATGACATTTACATGCATATTAGAAATAAAGGTAACGAGGAAAAGATAATTCTGTAAATAGCTTAATAAAAGTGTGCCGTACTCTATATTGTGACTACATGATTAAAGAGTACCACTTATATCCCACCAGATTTTTGTCTTGTGTGGCTAATAACTACTTTGCTTAATGTAGAGATATTAAATAATTGGAAGAATCTTTTTATGTAAAAGGAATTTAATCTCTCTTAATTATGTCATTGTAAGAGTTCAGAATCAAGGAGGATGCCATTAATAGAGTGTTTGTGGCTATTGTAATTTGATCCTGCAATTCTACAGTTTTCCTATTCCAAAGGGAGCATAGAAATAGTGGTTTGATTAGACAATAAGCCACATTGCCTTCAAATGCAAAAAGTTGCTAAAAACTTAGATGGATATAATAAAATATTTAACGTAAAAATACTGATTATAAAAATTCATGAAAGCTCTAAAATTTCTGAGAAAATAAGGGTAGGAGGAAAGACAGCAATGTAAAATGAATAATTGCTAACAACTTACAAGGTAAGTTGATGAAACTCTGATCTGAAAATGGCTTACAACAACTGACCTTTGATTTTGTGGAATCATAGAACAACACTAAATATTGCTCTATCATTTCAAAGTCAAGCTAGTTGCTAATACAAAGCAAAAATTATTTTTAGAGTTAAAGGAAAGATTGAAGGTCTCTAAGGCTTACCAATTGTTTATATAAAAAAGGATTTTTGAAACAATTTTATAATTTTAATTGTGATAAGAACTTCTAAGTTATTGTTCATATTAAAACATCTAAGTAACATATATTCAATTACATAGGATTAACATTTAATGAAAAGAAGTCTTTGAATATATTTTAAGGGTTTTGTGTACTGTAAAGTGACTTTTATTTACTTTCAAAGAATCTATTATTATCCAATGACTTTGTTTCCTCTCTGTTTCCAAAATATATAGAAGATAATAAAGTACATATTTAACGCAGATAGAAAAATAGAAAAAAGTAACATGTGTTCAGAAGGAAGCATCACATCCAGGTACTTTTAAACTAATAGTGTTCTTTCAGTGTAACAAAAAGGCTGTTGAAAGTACATACACATGCACATTGCATCACTCTCCTGGCATACATAAACAGACCTGTACTCAGTTGTTATCTTTCTGGGCGTTATGTAGCTAAGTGTCTATATTCATTCTGAAGGGCCACACTTCATTGATGCTACCTAGAAGCATCCTGTTCTCCCATCGCTGACCTGTAGCTGTAATCTGTCCTAGCCTGAGGTTAGGAACAGGAATTATAACTAAAATGCCAACTAATAACCACCTAACTCTGCCATGGTCTGTGGTCTGAACATAAGTCCCACTCCTTACAATTATCAGCTGATAATGTACTGTACAGTTAGTGACAAGATGGAGAGGATCAAAAAGTCTTTCCTACCACTTCCCATCTCTATGTCTGGAATTTCAATCTATGACCTTATATACACCAAGTATGTGGTAAAGTCATGAAGAAAAATACAAAGAATGCACTCAGAGTGATATCCTAAAGCTAAATGTTGGAAATATGTCTAAGCACTAAGACCAGAAATTAAACTGTCTCTCTACTCAAAGCAATTAAGACAAAACCTATGACATGCAGGTCTAAACTTAAAGTAGTTAGAGCAGCATGTAGGCCTAAAATTTTCCCTGGACCACCATAGAGCTTTGTACGTTTATTTGGATGATTAAAGCTTGAAATTTTAGCTCATGTAGAATGATTAAAGTCAATGCCAAGTCTAAAATAAAGTTTCCTTTTTAATGCAAAGCTAATTAACCCATAAAATGTCCATTTTTATGGAAGAAATGTACTTATTAAGATGAAATGTAATTTATCCTGTAATAGATTGTGTAAGCCTTTTGAACTGTTCACATGAAAGCTCTGCTGTGTGTCACTATGGGGGCCTTTTGTTCACGTTATAATAACTATGGGCAGGATATGTATCCCTGTTTGTACATTACTTTCCTACTCAACAACACCCTTCAATCCATGAAATGCCTTTTGCTGTTTCCTTTTATCATTTGTTCTTACCTACTGCTGTTTACTTGTGGGATTTTACATCCCTTACTTGTCTTAATACTTGCCCTTAACAGAACAAGGAACCCTGTACTCTTTAAAAACAATATTTAAAATAAAAACCAAAAAAAAAAATATTATTACTAGAGTAAAAAGGAATAAAAACCACAGATTTTAGAAATAACCCAAGATCTATACCTATTAGAAAATTATCACTCATGTGTCAAAAGAAACAAAGTTAAAATAAATATGGGGGAGTTATGAGTTCATCTAAAATAAATAACATCAAGTCTAGCTCCCAGCAGTTATGAGGTACTCTATCTTAGACTTCTCAAGTATTTTGGGAGAAAGATTTTATCATATTCAAATATACCCAATTATGTTGATTGATGTTTTTAAAAGAAAGTGGAGGTATGAAGGAAAGTTTAACCAAGATCTATTTGTAAAAGTGGTCATGCAGGGAAGATGAAGTTATGTACAGTAAAAAGCAAAATTGAATTTATGTGCAAGATAAAAGCCAATCAATACACTTACAAGAAAATCTATGTATCATTGTGGTTGCTGACTAATAAAATACTTTGAACAGGACTGGGGGTGTAGCTCAGTGGTGGACTAATTTCCCAGTATGGATAGTCTTGGGTTAGACCCCTATAGTGATATAATAATAATAATAATAATAATAATAATAATAATAATAAGTAATAATAACAAAGATAATAAAAAATTTGGTCAAGTTTGTGTCTCCATGGCAAAGGCTTTCTGGCTTACATGAGACTTTTGGTTCCCAGCACTAAGAAGAGAGCAAAGAACTTAATGTTTTTGCAGACTACAATATTATTTTCTGTTGCATCTGAACATGATCACACTACTATTATAGAAACCAAACCTCAAATTTTGATTAGCTACATAAATGGAGAAAAGAAGCAGTGTACTCAGACAATGTACATGAACATAGAGGAAAAAAGGAATGTTCCCTAATACCTTTTAATGAGTGAAAGTTAAAAGCTGTGTAGGGACTCCAAAGGAAGACAATGACTGTTGATAATAAGAGAAATATGAAGAAGTAAGAACATGTTTCCATGAGAAAGCTCTGCTTAACTCTTTTAAAGTATGGCTATAATAGTTGCCCTTTCTGTTTATATTGTAAAAACATTTGGATGTAAAGCACAGTGTTTGAACAATAATCTATGAATTCTTGAACCGCTCATAAGAGATCATTTTATTCTTCCTCTAGTAAAGGCAATCAATTATTAGTGACTAGTGACAGGAAAGGCAAATGATCTTTCTACTTCACAGACCCACAGTAGGTTATATGCTCTACTATCTTGGCCACAGAGCTTTCAACTCCCCAGACCAGGTTCTTTTATTAGAATTTATCAAGGATAATACATTAACTTAATCAAGCAAATTATTAGTTAATCTCTATTCCTTAGGTTGAGAGAGAGGTAATTAAAACAAAATTTAAAACTAAGTAAATATTAATTTCATGATGAAAAGGGGGCATATTAAGAATATTTACCTAAAATAGCTTATAGAGGTGTATTCATAATTAGATTGTAGATATTTAAAATAACTTCATGTCACTTTTTATTGAATTTATAAGAAAATATTGACCTCTCTAGTTATTAGGTTAGGAGACCTCACCATGGTTAGTCAGAGTAATGTCAGTGTTTTCAAGCAGGAAGTTGAGTGGTGGAGTTTAAATATAAATATAAATATAAATACAAATATAAATATAAATAACTTCATGTAAGTTAAAAGCAAAATTGAATTTAGATAGAAAATTTAAAATCATTTACATCAGATAATTGGGAACTCCAAAGAATTATGCATGGAAAACTTCACAGTATCTGATAGTAAAAAGGTGGGTTCTTGCTTTTAGTGTCTTCCCCCAAATTGAAACTACTTTATAATGACTCATTAAGGCTACATTTATGCCAATAATTGATCTTTTATTCACCAAATAAAATATGAGTAGGAAAATGTTAGTTAAATTATAAGAATATATATGTGTACTATAATTACTATGGTTCAATAATATACTGGCTTTTATTGGCACAAAAATTCTGTATATAGTGTATTGAAGATAGATAAATATAGCATTCAAAGTGTTAAAAACTGTTACAATAAGAATGAATATGTGAACTGATATTTAGTCAGATTGTACACATTGATAACAAATATTAAAACTATATTTTTTCTCCCATATCATAGTTGACTGCTTTAAGTCACTTCAAGTGTCTCTGACAGAAAATAAGTGTCACTCATTAAGGCAAATGTCGCCTCAAATTTTGCTCAGTTTTATTAATTTCTCAGTAGACCATTACTTCTTTTCAATATAGTAATAAAATGATAAAAAACTACTAGAATCCATTGTATTTAGCCTGGCTACCAAAAAAACAAACAATTTTCAAATGATATACATTAACTTCACTTTAATTTTATTTCAATAGAATTTAATATCATATGTTAATAACTTTTATTACTATTCTATTTTATTACTACTATTCTATTATTTTAATGTGATCTGGTTTTTTAATCACCTTGTATCAATATAGCACCTTGCTCCAACATTATATTTTATTTCTTAATTAAAGATACTCTTCTGGTAAATGTGGTACATAACATTATATAGAAAAATCATTAAGGGTATACACACCACTGTAGAGACCAAGAACCTCAAATTCATTGTACACATCTGTGTCACTAATCTTTTAATTGCATCTTTAACTTGTTAAAATAAGCTCTGGTAATGTTCAAAACACCTATAATGAGTTGCAATATAAAAAATACTAGTTTTATTTGGTTTGAGAAGTTAGATAATGACAATAACTTCAACTCTTGTGAAGAGGATAAACTATTCTTAATGGAAGTTCCAAAGTGATATCTACTCACAAATTCCTTGACAGTGGCTGTAGTGCAGCTTGAACCTTCAAAGTGCTCCTATTTGCCCACTAGGCTTGGCTAAGCAAGGAGTGGGAGGGTTCACTGTATACACAGAAAAGAGCACACACAAGTAGCACTGTGTGCAATTCACCCACTTACTTTGACCTTCCAAGCCACTTAATTTAAACAAATATCAATAAAACAAAAAGGTTGCCTTAAAATGTAATAATCTTGTATAGTTAGTGTATTTTTTAAAAATGTAGTTAATTACAATTAATTACATAACCATAGCTATCATTATGAAAATGTAGACCAGAAGCAGGCTGAAAATTTTACACTCTGTTATCAAAAATGTCATGTATGTGCTAATGTGGCATAGAAAATACTCATGTGATGAGAAGTGACAAGGCAAGTGAGCTGCTTTAATTCAAACACTGCACAGGGCAACTTGGTCAAGAATAATTAGAATGTGATCTTATAAGTGATAATGAAAGTGACATAAGAGCAAAACATTTTCTAAAACATGGGAGAACACTTGGAACTGCATAATAAGTTGAAGTTGTATAAAATGATACATAGTTGAATGGTGTAAACTGAAATTTCAAAGACAAAATTTCCCTCCATTCAGATATCAGTCATATTTTTACCTGTAAGTATTGAACCTGGCTATGCTTCTTTATTTAATTTCAGATCACTCATTTTCAATAATGAACTATTCATTTGAGGTTATCTTTTTAAAATTATGAACATTTAAAACCACTCTGGAAGGAAGTCAGGAAGGAAGGCAGGAAGGAAGGAAGGTGACACCTGTAGACTGTGAGAGCTAGACTTTAACCCCTCCACCCCAGACTCTAATTGGTAAATAATTAGGGACCCTTTGTGGTGGTGCCTTCTGTGAGCTACAAGGATCTGACCTTAATAACTACTCTATGAGCACCTCGTTTAAGCCTTTCCAACAGGGTGTTAGGAAGCAGCCTTCTTTAAAGGATGCTGAAAGGCTTCATGTGAAATCTATAATTGACAACGGCTTCATAGAAACAGGCAATTAAGAAAAAAAAATTAACAAGACACTCTACAGGAAAAGCACTCAGACTTTCACAGAATATGTTTCAAGGAAACTATTTAGTAAAAAATAACAATTTTAAAGAAACAGATCTTCTATTTTACTAATAGCTGTCTGGATCTGTGTGTTTGTTTGTTTGTTTAAAAGAAGACCACAGTTAAATTACTGTGTCCTAAAAAGTAATCCACCTGGTGATATTACTGGGAGGAGATGCACTGAAAAAAAAAAAAAAATCCCCAAGCTGAAGTAAAGGAAACTTCAACACCTAATTCTTCAAAATAGAAGCTGTGGTGCCTCAAGTTCAGGGGAGTAATGAGTTGATGGCAAACCAAAAGAGATCTCAGGACAAAGCAGCAGCATGAGAGTAGGGCTTCTATCTCCCTCAAAGCTCCAGGAGCCCACAACTCTCTTTCACCATCATGGTGCCTTGGAGGTGAGGAGCAGTAGCAACTAAGTAGGGTCAAAAGCAGAACTGGCAACTAAGTCCTCTGTGCAGTCCCCAGATGCTTTAACTGTTTCCTTGCTCCAAAGAAGTTTGCCTATGGTAGAAGGAAAACGCAAGAAGAGGGCAGAGTGGTGCCCAGGGGTTTGAATCTTTGGATTTCTGAGTAGCTCATCCTTTCTAGGGAATGGGGGTGGGGGGTTGCACTTACCTTGAGCAGCTTGCAGCGGATCTGAGCGGATACCATGTGGCTGTTGCGCAGGTTGCCCACCCGGAACATGAGAGTGAGTTTTCCGTCCCTCATGGAGATCACCGCATGCTCGCTAAACATGAGGGTCTCGGCGCGCTTCTTGGGCTGGGACATCTTAATGAACATGCAGCCTATGAGGAAAGCGTCCACGATGGATCCCAGGATGGACTGGAAAAGGAAAAGGATGATGCCCTCGGGGCACTTGTCGGTGATGTAGCGGTAGCCATAGCCGATGGTGGCTTCGGTCTCGATGAAGAAGAGGAAGGCGGAGGGGAAGTTATAGACATTGGCCACACAGGGAGTGTAGTTGCCTACATGGGCTTTGTTTAGGTCGCCCCGAGTATAAGCGATCACCCACCACATGGACGCCATGAAGAGCCAGGCCACGGTGTAGGTGAGGATGAAAATGAAGAGGTTCCAACGCCACTTGAGGTCCACCAGGGTGGTGAAGAGGTCTGAGAGGTAGCGACTGGTCTCGCTGCCCAGGTTCCCGTGCTGCACATTGCACCGGCCGTTCTTGTCCACGAACCTCTGCCGCTTCTTCTTGGGTACAAGCTGCTGCTGCGGACCCTGCCCTGGCCCCTGGGGCTGCAAGCCCGAGCCGCTCGACGAAGTGGTCACTACCTGATAATCGTCCCCAAATTTCCTTCGGAGTGCAGACATAATATGGAGGGGCGAGCCAGATTCAAACACGAAGCAGAGGCGCAGGAGCCAAGCGCTGCAAACCAGCACCAATGAGGAGGTGGGGGCAGGGGACGAAAGCAGGAGGGGAGAGGACGAAAGCGGGCGCCTGGGTGGGGGGTTGGGGAGCACCCTGCAGGTAGCAGCAGGCTCTGCCCCTTCAGACGCCTTTCCTCCCCTGGGACAGACGCTTTCTTTCGAAGAGCGGTTTTAAAACTGAAGTGTTCTCCCACACTCAAGGCAGCAGGGATGCAAGGTGTAAGACCCCAAGCGTAATTTTGCCTCCAAGCTCATTGAGGTTCCGTTTCTCTACCCCCAACATCGGCATCCCGGGCCACCTCTTATGTTTCCACAGCACCCCACCCCCGACTACCTTGCAGCACCCCTGAATTGGCTGCTGAAAATTAATGAGTTTGACAAGCAAGTCCCACCCTACCTGCCAACTCCCCAAGCTTCTAAGCTGTGCTACCTTCTTAGTCCAGACCCTCCCCCCTCCCAGCTTCACCCCGATCAGCGGCCCCTAGGGAGTGCTCCTGGCTCCCTTGTCACTCCCGCCTCTTATCTTTTCGCCAAAATCCCGCCCAGAGGCATGTCTGCTGGGCAGTGGTGCAACGCCCCCTACCCACGCTCTGCTGGCTCAGAATCCCCCTCCCGGGACTCCAGAGACCTGTACTCCTGCCGTGCGCGGGCGGCAGAGTTTCCACGCGCGCCAGGGGGGCCTTAGGATGGACCCTTGGGGGCCGCCAGTTCACCCCGGTACTCGGGTGAGCGCTGGGAGCCTGGGCACTCACCCAGCTGCAGAGGACAAACAGAGGCGCCGCAAGCAGCTTAGGCAGTCAGGTCAAGCACCCTGCTCTCAGGGCTGCCTGACCCCTTCCTACTTTCCTGGTGTTCCACGGTGAGAGCCACTGCAGGTACCTCCGCAACCCCCGGTGTGGGGGGGGGGCACTACACAATCTCCGCCAGAAGACCCTGGTGCTCCAAACAGAGATTGACTCGGACGCCTGACTCTTGTGTTCCTTAGCGCGCGCGATGCCCTCTTTCCAGGAGACAGCGCGGCTGCTTAACCGAGGTCAGACTTTCAGGTTAAACACTGGCATTGCTCCAGCTCTTCCTGTGCCTAGCAATAGAAACATTTGAGTCTTCGTTTCCTGGTTCTCCTATTCCATGTCCGCGCTTTGATTGCCCCGGTGGATGGAGGATGCGAGGCTCCAGCAGAGACAGCAGGAATGAGGTGTGTGTGCTGGTGCGTGTGATCAGCTGCAGAGCCGCACTAGCCCCGCCTGTCCTTGCCTTCCCCCGCTGCTCCACCAGCCTGAATTGCACCTCCGCGCCTTGGTTGAGCCCGCAGTGTCTGGCAGCTTAGAGAATGCGAGCCCCTCCAATGAGAAGCTGCTCTAAATCTGCTCTCTAACCGCAGCCAACTCTTTCCTCGCCCCCTTGCATCAATCAGAAAGCCCCCAAGCAAGCAACAAATGCTGCTTTCTGCGAAGAGTACAATATGTCTCTATTTCTAGGGCTCTTGCTTAAGCAAATACTAGGATTTGGGGATGCATCATCAACAGAGATCTGGCTTTCAGATAGGCATATTCAAAAACCAAAATTACAAAAACACCGACCTGACAATGGGAACAGCAAGCAAGGGCCACACTGAAAGGAAATCCCCAGTCCTTTCTGAAAAGGATTCTATGAGAAAGGCTTAGATTATTTCGAGTTAGTGTGTGACTGTAATTGAGGGGAAAGTGATGTGTTTTAATGGCCCCAGTCTAGCAGTTAATTTAATGGAGGGACAAAGTGCAGAAACAGCTGATATAGCACCCATGAGTAAATGCCAGCTTATTTACCACATTTCATGTTCGTTTTAAAATGTCTTATGTCATATTCCGCTCAGTCCAGATACACAAAGTTGGTAGAAAGTCAGCTCTTGCGATAAAAGCAAAGAGCTGCTAAGCAAAAGAAACACATAATCTCTAGACCATCTCTCCAGAGAAGGCACTGGCTCCTATGCCCTATCAGAAACCTTTGTACAGGCAAAAGTGGAGGACTTGTGAGTCAGGAGTGGAGGACTGTAAACATTCAGCTCCAGTTACAGCTTCTCCTGTGGGTCTCTTATAAGATGTCAGCAATTTATTCTCTGGAGATTACATAAGGACAGTGACACTACTAGGAGCATGAAAGGCTGATCCTTGAATCCTAAGGCCTGACTTGAATCCTAGCTGTGCCATTTACAGGCTGTGTGACCTTGAGCAAAAGCTCCAAATTTTCTCCTTTAGAAAACTGAGTTTTCCCTTTCCCCAGTCGTGATATGAAAAGCAAAGAAAACCGAAAAAGAGTGAATGTGATTTTATTATTTCTCCTCTGAAGGAAGTACTGGGCTACAATGATTTAACAAAGCCAAGGGAAGAGTATTAATGAGTTTCGTAAGTTGTGGCCTTGCTGTGAGCGAACACACATTCTCATCTCCTCTCTGACCTCCTCCCTCCATAGTCTACAACCCCCTTGGCAGGCTGAGGCTCTCCACTGTAGAAACACATCCAGAGACACTCTGATCCCTAGGTCTTCCCACTGTCTTCCTTCTCTTCCTGTATTAGTCCTGTCCTCCCAACAGGTGTTACTAGCTCCTGGAATCACTAGGCTCTCTGCTGAACTGTATTCTCTCTGTAGGGCTACATTCCTTACTGTCTCAGGCCCCACTCTGTCTCATCAGCTGGGTTCTTCCTTCAGGAGAAAGCTTTCTCAGTGTTGCCTTCTGTTGCTTAGTGGTCCTCTCCCTCCATGGCCAACTATATAAAACAGGTTTTTTAGGGGCAAGGGCCCTGTCAATACTCATTTTTCCTTTGCTTGTTCCTTGCTTTTTCCTTAGAATAGTACCTGGTTCATACGTGGCAAACAATTTTTCTTGAATCATTAGGAACTCCATATGAGTCCACTAAAATTCTGGGTCAGAATATAATGAGTCATTTATTTGGATTGATATGAAGGAATATTTAAACATAAAAGAATATTTATGTTTGTTACTTTAAAACATCATATTCTATCAGTCCTTTGCTTCTTTATTCAATAAGTTTGTAATGACTCCTCTACTTTCTTAAATACATCATCATTTACCCCACTTTAGAATCTCAATTCAGTCAAGCATGATACAGTATGACTTTAATCCCAGAACTTAATAAACAGAGGCAAGCAACCTTCAGGCCATCCATGCATACATAGTAAGGCTCTTACAGAAACGTAATGGTTAATAAAAAATATTTTAATACACCCCTACTACCATTCCTCAGTAAGTATTAAAGTAATATATATTTGAATTCTATTGTTTTAGAATGATTGGTTTTAATTTTTTGTTTGAGCTACCTTCCTGAAACTCATTTTGAAAAATTCTTAAATGAATTTTTGCTAAGGAGTTGGGAAGAATTTTGAACCATTTCTGAAATAATGCTAAGCATTTTCACTTCTGTCATTTTAAACTACATGTACATGAAAAGTGTCATTTTCATCACTGACAACTACAAAGTCAAAATATCGATCAACCCTGAAGAGAAAGTTGTATTTGTCACACATGATGTGGTGTCAAATATTCAGCCAAGCTGTAATTCTTTTCAGAAAATAATCACAAATATTCTATTTGTTCACAAATTTGTGGCTACCTTTAACAAATAGTAAACATTTATGTATACAAAATATTTTTTCATAAATTTGTCTTTTATTATTAATCCTCTTTGATTTGTATGTATATTTTCACACTTAGAATCCAAGTTGAAAGTTTAAGAAGACTTGGTCAAGTCTAACTTTCTCTTTTTACAAAAGAGCACCCTGGGGTTAGAAAGGGCAAATGATTATTCTGTATCACACACATAAAAGTAGACACTTAAATTTTAATTCAAACAGTGTGTGCCCAGAATCTTTGAACCTTTGTGGTCCATCCATCCCTTGCCAGCAAGTTTAGAGGAGTGGTTTATTACTCCACGAGTGGCTTACAGAACTTCAGACCTTCTTCGGATAAGCCGTGTTTCTCATTTCTATTAAGATCCATAGCTCTTCAAAATGGTCCCCCTTGGCCTATCAATGGACTTTTCTCTAGTCACCTCTATTCTTCAAAGAGTGCTTGATTAACTTCATTAACTCACTGTCATATTAACTCACCTTATTTTTCATTACTTGTATTATCTTTTTCCTATCATTCTGAAATCTATGTCTCAGACACTAGCATACAAGATAGCAATAGAATTTCTTCACATTTTATTTCAGTGGCCACTTCTTACATAACACTTTAATGAATCCTTCTACTGAAAATAATAAATCATTTTCCTATGTACCCATTTCTTTAGATTTTCATTATGACATGTTTAACATTCTAGTTTGGATTGAGACTGGGATTCCTCAAAACTGTTTAAGTGGACAACCAGCCCACAGAGCATGAATCTGTTAATATTTTGATACTCTCTGTACTCCAGTGGTATCCTAGCCTTTTTTATGTAAAGTACTTAAGAGAGCTCTAAAGAACCAAGCTTTACAAAGAGCTTGTTGAAATGCTCCAAATAACATACTTTCATCTTAAGGTTGTATCTGTAGCACTTAGCTAGGAAGCCAGTAGGGCAGAAATTCCAATAAATACTGGCTTGCTATCAGATTGCTATCATTTTGGATACACAATACTTCCTGGTAAGTAAACTTTTTTTTTTTTAACAGAATGCCATCATCTCACAATTCACATGAGACTGAAGCTTTGACCCCATTGTGACATTGAATCCCACTCCTTGAAATGGTTTACAGATGAACCAAGCTCTTCTCTCCCTGTGAGGACAGCTGCTTCCAGGATGAGGTCTGGAGGGCAGCCAGCCCCACGGTGCTGAGGCCAGGCGAAAGTGTGAGGAACAGATGACAGAAGGCCATTGAATATGGTGCTGTGGATGAACTGAGGGAAAACACTGTACAGACTGGGTCAAAATGTGGGAGAGGGCAAAGTTTCAGACCAGGTCACAGTGGTCAGAAAAAAATCTGAACAACAATAACAAAATAATCGCAGAATGCATAATCATTTGGAGTCCAGCATTTCAAGATAAGGTGGTAGACGACAAGTGAACTAACCTGGGGTTCAGAGGGATAGAACAAAGCTATATTTAACAACAAACTCAGATAAAGCCCAGCTGCATATTTATTCTGCCCAGAGAGTACTTTTGGCAATGTCTTATTTTCTG